CTGCCTGTATTTTGCACTTTGCTGGTACTCAACTGAATTAGCCCTACAATGGCAGCAGTAGGTCTTTATTTCACCCATATGTATGATATACTGTTGCATATAAAATGGTCAAATTGCATCTGGGAAATCTTGGCGCTTGTATTTTATCAATAGTTTTTGTCCACTTTTATAGATACATTTACAACGTTTACATGCTTACCAATAATTTAATATTCATCAAAATGAAACTGCTTGTCTAAATAAGATATAATAGCGTAAACAGCATGGTTTTACTGTCATGGTTTGAATAAGGCTGTTGTTGACCTAAGCTTAACACGTTGGCTGGACTTTGATTTGACAGATTTGGACACATAAACACTTAATTTGATTTGTTTTTGCAACATTTTGTTTCTTTCCATGGTGCGATGCGTGATGAAACATTTATGATGAGTGATAAAAGGGTTCACATTTTATAGAAATGAAGAGACATGTTAAACATTTTAAACATATTGCTAAACATTTTGCCTGAAATAGCCAAAATGTTTAAGCTAATGCTAATATACTGTGTACAGTGTGTACACAGACACAGTAAACCAAAGGTCATGTTCATTGGGCTACATTACACATACATAAGCTCTTCATGATAAATGACATAGATCTACATAAATATTTACTTCAATAGGTGTCATTTGTCCTAAACGTTAATGCTGCAACCAATTAAAATCCACAGGTAAATGGGGTCCTACATATTAAAGACCCACCAAGTGAAGCAACGGTTGGCTGCCAAAGGAAACTAAACCAAAGAAACAAAGAAAACCAAAATTCTCGGAGCTACAAATCTGAAGGGGAGAAGTTCTGGATAATGTTTGGTAAAGATGCTTTTAACTTTTTATCAAGAAACAAAATTTCTTTATCAAAAAATGTTTTTACTTTACAAGAAAGATATGTATAAAAAAATCTAATCATAACATCTTAAAATTCAACTTTTCATGATGTTCAAACAATTCTATTTAAAAAATAAATCAAGTCCTTTACCAATTTGTTATAATTACAGTAATAATTTTTACTAACATAAATTAGAGTTTAACATTTGGTATTTTTTATTACAATTAAAATTAAATTGACATGCAGAAATTCTAATTACTTTGGTAAGCTGTGTTTTTGGTGAGCTGTGCTTTTAGTTCCTATTTTCTTGATCTCAGGAATTCAGTTTATACATTTGAAAATTAAATTTAACTAGTAAATATTTCATTCCTGATATCAAGAATTTGACTTGTACATAAGAATTTTAAAAATAAAATATTGATTATTAAAAATTCAGTTTTATTTTTTGCTAGTATGTATATATGTACATTTTGCTAAAATGTGTTTTCACATGTGTAAATATAATTCTTTGTAAAATCCATCGTAAATTTAAAATTAGTATTAAAATTAGTATTTAAAATAGTAGAAGTAGATACTTCCAAACACACCTTCCACACATAGGAGGAGATTTGACAAACATAGAATTTGACACAGGAAGAAGAGTCTGTTTTAAACACAGCGCCAGTTAAATCTGTCAATCTGAAATCCGTCTCAGGCAGCAGTACAACAGATGTTAGAAGGTTTGTCATGCTGTTCAGACCAAACAGATGAAAAAAATTATATCAGTCAATCAGTAGGAACTCCTCAGTAGAGTTGAGGAATGGTGAGTACAGTGGTAGGAACTCCTCAGTAGAGTTGAGGAATGGTGAGTACAGTGGTAGGAACTCCTCAGTAGGGTTGAGGAATGGTGAGTACAGTGGTAGGAACTCCTCAGTAGGGTTGAGGAATGGTGAGTACAGTGGTAGGAACTCCTCAGTAGGGTTGAGGAATGGTGAGTATAGTGGTAGGAACTCCTCAGTAGGATTCAAAAAGGGTGAACAGTGTGAACAGTGTAAGAACTCTTCAGTATGGTTGAGGTAGGGTGAATAGGGTAGTACGAATTCTTCAGTAGCATTGAGGAAGGGTGATATGAATAGGGTAGTATGAACTCTTCAGTAGGATTAAGTAGGGGTGAATGTGAATTGGGTAGGATTAACTCCTCAGTTGGCTTGAGAAATCCTGAATATCGCTGTTGTCAGAACAAAACCTTGTATCTCCAAAAAGGTAACTTTACGGGACAAAGAAAAACGTTCTTAACTTTTAATGGAAGTAAATAGATAAATAATTTTTGGACCATTTCTTTTGGTTCGTTCATCATGAAAATTTTACACATCATAAAGGGCAACTGGATCTCAAATTATGTCAAAAAATGGAGATATGGCAAAAATTAGAGATGCAAGGTTTTGTCCCATCAAAATGTTATGAAAAGGGTAGTATGAACTCCTCCATGGGGCTGAGAAAAGCTGAATATGAATAGATAGTATGAATTCCTCTGTAGGACTGAGAAAGTGATGGTGTGAGCTCCTCATTAAGGTTGGGGAAGAATGCTCATCAGAATATTAGGACCATACCCAGACATTTCTCAGATCGGTTTTATAACAAATTTTATGCCCTGTTTTTTTTTGTATCTTTTTTTCATTCTAACTTTGCTGGATGTTTTATACAACTCAATTTTAGGATCACAAACAGTTTTAATGTTTGATATTGTGTTCTCTGTGACTCAAATGCTGAGCAGTTTTTAAGTACAATTTAGAGAATGAGGAGAGTTTCTGAAGTGCATCTAAGCCTTTGAGAATGACTGCAAATTAAACATTAAATTCACTCCACAGTTCACTGCTCATTTAATCACCCCTGTGTGTCTAGCCCAGCATTTCATCCTCCTCACAACTGATATTCTGCTTTACTACAAAAAAAGACCATTTTATAACCTAACCACCCCATACATGTTTCACAAGCAACACCCAGTCCATCCAGAAAAGACATGTGGTCAGCAGGCTGATGTGCACATCTCCATGTTGAAAAGAACATCTCAGTTGGATCGAGATTGTAAGGTAAGATGGGAAGAGCTGTACAGTGAAAGCTAACATTGTCCCAAACTACTGTGTAATTTGGTAAGTCATTCTTGTCTGTGTTGTGTGACGGGTTGTGAGGCCCAATGATGAGGATGTGTGTAATTATACTGTTCTCAGATGTGACAGCACACACTGTTATGTTACCACCCACGCTTGCATGGCACCTCCACAATGGCTCAGTGACCACTATGATGTTTCAATCACTTCTTCTCAGGGGCGGATTTAATGATTCGGGGGGGTTTGGCAAAAGACAGGAATGAGGCCCTCTTGATGCAAATTCTGGGATTCTGAGTGGCACAACCATCAGAAAATGATATCTTAGCAAGTGAAATCGTCTTAAATCATCTTAAATTATATGTAATGTTTATTATTTAAACACTGTTGTAAGAATGCAGTTAGTTTATTAAGTGAAATGATCTTGCCATATTGGTAGATAATTTCGCTTGCATTAATAAATAATGCTTGAAACAACCTAAATTGACAGTACAGTGAAATAATTTAGTACCAAGTGATGTAGAAGTAATGAGTAATGACATTACTTTCTTTAGGAAGTAATATGTAACGTCCCATTACACAAAATTATACCTTATTTCTCTTGGCCTTACCTGGCAACCCCATTCTAGAAGTTCCAGCTACACCCCTGTATGGCATTCAGTGTGGTCATTTTGTGCACTCCTTATTTCTTTAGTACAGAGCCCTGTAGGTGACATCCTGTATAAATAAAAATAATGCATGGCCATGGTGTATTAACGCGTGGGAACGAGATCCTAATGCGTGGCCACAACTTAGTAAGGTGTGGGAATGAGATCTCGTTCCCATGCCTTACTAAGTCATGGCCATGCATTAGGATCTTGTTCCCATGCCTTACTAAGTCGTGGCCACAATTGAATTAAGTCGTGGGAACGAGATCATGCCTTACTAAGTCGTAGCCACATATTAGGATCTCATTTCCACGCCTTACTAAGTTATGGCCATGCATTAGGATCTCGTTCCCATGCCTTACTAAGTCATAGCCATGCATTAGGATCTTGTTCCCATGTTTTACTAAGTCATGGTTACGCATTATTTTTATTTATACAGCATGTCACCAATGGGTCTCCATACTGAGTTCTACATAGGACCATTTGCATGCTTAAATGGTTCTTTGCATGGGGAAATGGTTCTTACGGAAGCCCGGAGAGGCCATGAGCTGTTGCTATAATTTTCTGGATTGTTTTCTTGAGATAATGAGTTAATTATCTTGTCATCTTGTGAAGTTGTTACAAGATAATTAACTCATAATCTCAAGATAACAACTTTGTTACCACAAGACATCAAGATAACTAGCTTGTTATTTCAAGATAACAACTTTATCTTGTACGGAGCCCTGCTAGTGACATCCTGTATAAATAAAAATAATGGGTGGTCACGCCTTATTAACGAGTGGGAACAAGATCCTAACGCGTGACCGCGACTTAGTGAGGTGTGGGAATGAGATGATTAAGTCGTGGCCATGACTTAATCATCCCATTCTCACACCTTACTGAGTCGTGGCCATTATTTTTATTTGTACAGGATGTCACCAGCGGGGCTCCGTAATCTTGAGATAGCAATATAATTAACTTGTCTCAAGACAACTTTTGTTATCTCGCGATAACGATGACTATTTCAAGATAACAACTTTGTTATCTTGAGATCACAAGATAATTAATACGTTATCCCAGGACAACAACTTTTGTTATCTCGAGATAACAAGATAATTAACTTGCTATCTCAAGATAACAATCCAGAAAATTATAACTACCTTCTGGCCTCTCTGGACTTCCGTAGGTTCTTCATACGGAAACATTGATGGAGAATGTGTTGTACATGGATATAGAACCTTTTTGAAAATGGTTCTGTATAGCACCAAAAAGGTTCTTCTATTGTTACGTTGTCAAGCTTGTAACAGTAGAACCATTCCCTTTCCTAAAGAACTCTTTTTGAAGAGTGTGGACCTCTTCATGCGTTTGTGTCTGTTGCTGTTGAATGAGCCCCGCCCCCTCCTGCTCTCTCACGCTGCTCCACAGCCGGCACAAGGTCTGACGGGAAACGCAGCCGAGGAGGTAAGAAAATGGAACTCTTAACCTAAATTATATCTGTTCACGTATTTTTGTCTCAAAGTGTATCTAAAATAATCCCGGTTTAGTGTCAGAAAGCGTTACACTGGCTTTAATCTCTCATGTGCCGCGCGTAACTGGCGTTGGACTCAAGGTGTAGATACAGTTAGCAAAAAATGTAGATTAAAAAATACAGAAAAATTCTGTAGATACAAAACACATTCACGTTTATTTAAAAAAATGAACAGCGAAGCGCTTTATGACCACGTTTTTTTGTAAGTATTTGATTCTTGAATAATTTCTGATTGTCCGTTCCACCTTAAATGGTGCAGCAGTTACTATCTGGCGCCTGTACAGACATCACAATTTAGCTGCACCATTTAAGGAGGACCGAACAATTCGAATACAAAGGGGGCTAATAGGAAGGTTTCAGTGTTTTCTCAGTACGTGTAAATGCGAAACAAGCTGCTGTAGATGGAGGGCAGTCTGGCATTTGTTCAGTTAGTTTGTATCAGTCTTTTTGACTGGACAGGCTAGATATGGATGGTCATTGACAACAGTTAAGTAAGGCTGCGAGATACATACATGGTGTATTCAAGCTGTTGTCTGTGTGTAAACCGTGGGGTTATTGTGTTGTTGCACCAAAGACCTTGATCTCTATGATGTGTTACGTTTAATATTACACTTATATGCAATGTAATGAGTAGTGCTGCCACTTTGTGTAACTGTAAATGTGAAATGTAGATTTAGAGTACAGTAGAGCTGGGCAATATGACAATATTTATCATTATTGTGATAAACTGCTTCACAATAATTGTCTGAGCATATTGTGGTATTTAAAGCACTTCCCAACCGCATGTTTGATTACATATATAGCACAGTTAGTCCTGTTCATTAGCTTTAGTGAAATGTTAAATAAAGTTGACTGCCTTATTGTAATTATTGCATGTAATTTTTGATAGTATTTTTAAAATGTGGGGCTACTTTGTCTGTTCCAACTTATTAGATGTCAGAAAAATAAACATTATATCATATCATATATCAATTTTAAAGTATCATATTACACCATATTGCCCACCTCTATAATACAATATGACTGTGTACTGGGGATGCAGTGATTTGTGGGCCGATGCTGATATCCAATATTATTGATGTACATATCTGCCTATGCAGATTGATAAAGTCTTGTGAAATGTAGATCTACCTGAATTAGCATTATAGAGAAATAACATGTATTTCTATGGGTTTGTAAATGCAGTAAAATTAATAAAATGCTGATATTTTTAGCATAGTGGGCAAGCGTTGCCTAAACATTCCACTCTTCTGGAGCACAATAAATTTCTCATCAAATATTAGCTTCAAATATTATCAAATCTATTACTAATACAGTTAATATGGCTAATATTTACTATTATTGCTTTTCGATATTTTCTTTCCATTTTTATTACTGCTTAATAGTTTTATTTGTTTTGATTTGTTAATCTGTTTGTCTTAAAGTTCCTCATTTTAAATCTGTCCGAAGCTGATACATTTTTAAAGCAAATATCTGCCAATACTGATATGATTCTGATATCACTGTGCATTCCTACTACATGCAGTATGACTCCCATTTGAATATAGCACTCCATCATCTGACATAGGCAGTAGTGCGGTGCCAAGGTTGTTCCCTTCCAGCAAGGCCTGCCTGTCAGCCCTGTCAAACATGCCACACAATAACCATACCAACTGCGAACATCCTAGTGCATTACTGTAGAGAATTATGGCAGAGGAAAGACTGTTTGCAAAATTCATCTGTAGAGTTACATGATACATGCTGGCTGGGATGAAAACTGTCACAGTGATGTCTGCCATGCTTTGTTACACCTCCACAGTACTGCTTTTACCTTCCTGTGAAGGCCTAGGAGGTTTTCAGGTGATTGTATGGATCGGCAGTGGTTCACAAGGTTCAGTATACTTAATCGATTGCAATGTGAATGGCTGAGATATTCTTAGGTACTAAAGGTTTGGACCTGTGGGTCAGTCCTCTTGATTTGATATATTGATGATAGAGCTGTGTATTTACTTGACATAACTGCTTGTATCCTTGAGGAAAATTTGAGTGTGATGGTACATCAGTAGGTAATAGGGGTGGGCGATACAGAAAAAATAGTGTATCACGATACATAAAGACGTTTTCACGATGCACAATATGTATCATGACACTTTGACATGATATTATAAACTATAATACAATGATTGTTATTCAATATTTCACCTACTATCCTGCACTAAATCCAATTAAACAGGAAAACTGATGCTCTTTTCAGTCAGTGCTCTTTAATTACTGATAATATTCACAATATGCTCATAAAAGCATGTAGCATATGTTAGCTTGGGGCTAACATATTAGCTTGTGAGTAGAGCATTAGATCAGGGCACTATAAAGCTTCAGTTCTAAGATGGTACGTGTATCCTGTTGAATGCTGAAATTAATAAAAATGAAAAATGAGTGAAAAATTAACTGAAAATGAATGAAATACATTAACATATTAACATAAGGCACATTTGCTGATACTCTGTTTTTGCTGTATTGAAAAACATATCAAATCAAGATACCACCATGTTTTATAGAGTCAAATGATGAATTTTCTTTTGTGAATCATTACACCCCTTTATATTGGGGCTCAGTTTCCTGGACATGGATTAAGCCCAGTTCTCGACCACAAAGCATTTTGAATGGAGAATGGAGATTTCAACTGATGATTAGGCTTAAAACTGACCCCGTATACCAGGTATTAAATCTACTATTAGTATCTGGAAGCTAGACTTGTCACAGTGAGTAAATGCACACCTACTGTTGACCATGCATGCCTTTCTCAAATGGCCATCACCATAAATGAAAGCAGAATGCACACATCTGTACCTCTGTAGATGATCTTAAATCTAAATTGTGATGATCATGGTTTTCTCGAATCAGTAATTGTCTTTTGCTGAATCCAAATCCCCCCTTCAGTCACCAATATCAACTCCCCCACCCCACACTCACATTCACACACACCATCCTGTTCTGTTCTCGACTTTAGAATGCACTGTTGCCATGGTGACAGAATGGCGCACGCTCCCTCTCGTTCTCTTTTTCCTCTTTTTTTTTATATATCCCTCTCTCTTTCTCTGTGGACCTGTGGAGACATAACCGATCCTCTCGGGCTGTGAATAAGATGTATTTGCTTGATTGTTTCACCGATGTTTAGATAGATCTTCAAGGTGTGTTGCACTGCCTCTCCTTTGTTATCCCCCTTTAACGTCATATTAACATGCTTTCTTTTTGTTTCCTCTTTCTTTTTGGCTTGTTTGACTTTCTCCAGGAGAAACAGTAGATTTGCCGCCATGAAATCCTTCTGAGAGGAGGAAAGAAGCAAAACCTAGAAAATCTACTCCCACCCACGGGCAAGAAAACGGGGGAGAGAGAGAGAGCAAGAGGGAGGGAGGGAGAGCCAGTGTGTGTGAGAGAGAGAGAGGGAGAGGGAGAGAGGGAGAACAGTCGATGGATGCTGCTTGGACAGATTGGTCGGTACGTTCTTCTGTGACGAGGACCAGAGAGCCGCAAGAATGGATGGAAAAGGCAGACACATTCCTCCAGGTAAGCGCACACATGCATGCTGATGTCTCCCCGCCTCAAGCTTTGACCACTGTGCTCTAGGCAGACACTAAAGGGTTAATGAAATGTTCTGAAGTGATGCTTGAGGTTCTGTCTGCAGACGTTCTTCAATGCAAATGTCTAGATGTTCTGCATGTCCTGTCTTTGGTGGTCTGTCACCAAATGTATACTATCTCTTTACGTATTCACGTATGAGGGTGCGTATATGCATTTACACATTCTTCAAAGAAAGTCAAGCTTCAGATGTCCGCATATGATCCAGCATCTCCTCTAACCAAGATCTGTTCCTACACATTTTTAATCAGGCCTACTGTGATGTTCTCCAGTGAGAGCTAACATCTGAAATGCAGATGGATGATTGTATTGTACCCTACAAAGCAAGTAAAAACCTTAATGGTGTTTTATGAATGCTGGGAATCTTGGGCCTAGCTTATAGTGCTTAATTCACTTCTGCCATTTTGCCATTTATATTGTTGGGTGATACAAATATTGATATCAACTGTATGTAAATAAAAGTAAGCAGATAGCATATTTATTTACACATCATGGGTCTTATGAAAACAATGAAAGGCTCTGACATCTACCTGGTGCTACAAAACCATTAGAGGGTGTCAGTGAGTAATGTTTGTTTATTTGAGTTTATTTGAACTGTTTGGGTTTTTAGCTTGGACCTACTAAATATCGACAGCTAAGAAGCTAGGACAGGGGTCGGCCACCCAAATGTTAAGAAGAGCCATTTTGTCCTTTCAACAAAAATCAAACCACCTTGGGAACCACAACATTTTATGTCCATTTTGCCAACTTGGCTATATGTCTCAGTATGTGCTAATGTACTAGTACAGACTAAAAATATAATATAAGTGAAAACGATGACTTACTTTGCTCTGCTTTAAGCTTTAGCTCAGCTATAGCCAAAACTTTTTCTCAAAAGTAGAATAGCCAGAGCTGCGTGTTGCCGACACCTGAGCTAGGAAGATAGCTACTTAGCCATTTTGGCCACTTTAGCCTCATAGTAGTAGTAGTAATAGTTGGATATAATGACCAGAAAGGACAAAATTATTTACATGTCAATTAATTGTCAGCTTAAATTTCGTGATTGTCCCAGGTCTAATCGCTACTTTTATTTGGTCTTTTATATTTGCTCATTCCTCATCAGGATTTAGACAGAATAGCTACCTGTGAAGATCATTTTCTTATATTAATTCTGTTCGTGTTTTCTCTATCAGTCTCATCTTGCTTTTACATTTCAGCATAGGTGTTCTATGGCAAATTGTGTTGATGGGCCCCAAAAGCCCATGGTTTGGGAAACAGAATGCATGACTGGAAATTTTGCTCCTCTGATTAGTTAGTGTTGTTTGTGACACCCATCCTTTTTGACGTAAATGCGAACAGCTTTCATCAGAGCAGTTTCAGAAGATACTGAAAAGACTGAGACTTGTCTTCAAGATGACTTGTCAGGCTTGTGTCAGCAAAAGATTAAAAAAAGATTACACCGGATGAAGATGACAAATTCTATGCAAATTAGATCACTTGCATTATGAACCTGAGACTTTAGTGCCGCAAATGTACTGTAAACTGATGATCTATTGGCCTGGCCGCTTGTTTCCATTGAAGAATATCAACACTTCTGCATGGTTGGGTGTTAAATGCGTGCAAAGTGGATTCAGAGTGAAGCCTAATGGCCCATATGGCAATTGTGAGAACGTAGCCTCTGCTTTGCTGCCATTTTTTTTAACAGAGTGTAACGGATGACTTTTGAAGTGCCGCCATCTGAGGCAAAGTGGCATGCCACTAACCACAGCCACTGTGGCCTTACTGTGTAAGCTGGTCTAACCTTTCTATACATGTTTAAAATGTTGTCTGTGTGTTTGCACTGTTCAGGTGCTACATTTTAAACAAGTATTCTCTTACTGGGGTACTTAATTATGTCTTTTGGTTCCTTGACCTTCTGGATGACTTCTTTTCAAACAGTGAACCCGCTCATTTACTGCAAACTTACACATGATGTTTCGAGTCTAGCATTAATGATAAACAAAAACAGCAGCAGCAACAGTGCAGGAGCTTCAAGCTTCTTCAAGCTGTTTTACTCTGCATTTGGTTTTGTGTCACAGACAGTAATTCTGGCTAGATGGTGTTTGACGAATCAGTAGTTTGTTTATTTAATGTTAAAATGCTCACTTTTGACAAATATTGGCAAATATTGGCGTCACACGTCCTTTAGAGCATCATGTAGTCATTGTGTACGTTGGGCGTATAAAAATGCATCGTTTCACCAATCAGTAGTTTGACCAACCAGTATTGTGCATCATTTGGCCAATCAGTAGTTTGCACCATTGTAAGCTCCTATTGTAGCCTGGAGTACCCACACAAGAAGGGTAACCATGGAATTGCAAAATGACTTATAGTACACTGCAATTATCTGTTTACATTGACTATTTAAGGCATTAACATTTGTTCTCTGATGAAATATGATGAGTAGGAATGCGTAATGATATCAGAATGTTATCAGTGTGGCTTTAGGTGCTGCTGGGCTACTATTCTAAAATGTCTGCATTTTTATTTTTTGATTTTTTTTTTGATTAAACATATCAAACTCCATTCACTAGTTAGGACTTCCCCAATCACACAATATCACCAACGCTAAGAGGCCTGCGCTGGCTAGCACGCACTTGGTGATGGGGGGAGACCCACCCAGAGAGTGAGGCCAGTTGTGCTCGTTTGGCCTCCCAGCCACGGATGGCTGTAGGCTCACCAGCTATCAAACTCGCGATCTCCTGATGATAGGGTCAACGTTTAGAAGGTTGTGGCACTTGGGAGCCCCCAAAATGTCTGGATTTTATTCATTTTACTGCAGTTGGAGTTTGGATCAAAATCTCCTTATACAAATTAATATTAAAATGCTCACTATTACCAGAATCCTTTCTGTGTGGAGTTTGCATGTTCTTCCCGTGTCTGCGTGGGTTTCCTCCAAGTACTCCGGTTTCCTCCCACGGTCCAAAGACATGCAGTCAGGCCAATTGGACATGCTAGATTGCCCCTAGGTGTGAATGTGTGTGTGATTGTGTATGTATGTATGTCTGTCTGTCTGCCCTGCGATGGACTGGCGACCTGTCCAGGGTGTATCCTGCCTTCCGCCCGATGACAGCTGGGATAGGCTCCAGCACCCCACCATGACCCAGAAGGATAAGCGGAGGATTGATGTATGTATGTATGTATGTATGCTCACTATTGACAAATATTGGCAGATATTGGCTTTCGTGCATCCTTTAGTGCATCATGTGGTCATCGTGTGTACACAGCTTGAAACTGCAGAGATGCTGCTGTTTATAGTCTATATGTTAGATGAACATATAGATGTCCTTATGTGCGTGTTAGGCATATAAAAATGCATCGTTGCCTCACTATGGAGTTGGGAATTGGACTTAATTTTGGAATATTAGAATTGAGTAGAATCTATAGAAATATTATGCGCTCATTTTGTAAAACTATGCATAATTTTGTGATGCATCCATCTGAAGCGACACATCAATTATGTTTATATATTTATCTACTATATAGTCCACAAAATGCAACATTTCCATATACATGATGTTCTAAAAGATGCAAATTTAATACCTCTTAATATTTTTCTACTTACAGACATGACTGCATCCAGGAACTCTTAATTAATTACTCCTCATGTAGCTGTAATGTCTTCAATCAACCCAAACTCGTAGAAATGCCTTCCAGCTGTTAAGGAATTAAGCATTAATTCAAGGCCAAAAAATCTTCTGCCTGCTTTCCAGGAATTTCTCAGAGGAAGTGAAATCTCTTAAAAGGTTTCAGCATCCTTCACTTCGTCACATCAGTGGCATTTCTAATGTCTGTATCAGGGCACCTAATAACGGAACCTGAAACCACATCTCAGCATCTAATATTTATACATCCTGTGCCTGTACACACTTCCATTCTGTTTCTATTTCGCCACCTTTAGATCCCACATAGGCTCAGAGTACAGTATACTGCTTTCATTCATATTCTTGTATTTCCTCTCTTGTGACTTCCTCTTCCTTTCTGCTCACCCTGCGTTTCCCCCCCCGTGTACATCTGAAGTGCTGCCATCTGAGACAGAGTGGCATGCCACTACCCACAATAACTACTCTGCCCTCCCTGAGTGAGCAGGAGAAAACTTTTTGTATTTACAACATTGTAATTTAGGGGTGTAAAAAGTATATTAGTGCATCGTTCTGAATGTGGTGACTGCATTGATATTGGAACGTTAGAAATGAATAAATTGTTATTATATTATGTAGTGCATGTGCTCATTTTTGTTGAAATTTAAAAACTGATATATATACAAGCTATATAAAAGCTGTGTATTGTTTGTATTGTCTATATTCCACTACTGTGTATGTTACCATTTAAAAGTTGTTAATCTCCTGCCAAATTGCTGTGGATTAAAATGTTACAAACTATTTACCAAAAGGTCTTTTAGATGTTTATGTCAATATTTCAAGAATTCTATGAACAACTGAAGTTATACAAAGATATATAGCACACTGTAATTATCTATTTACATTCAGTTTTTTCAAAGCATTGTGATTTGGTCTCCTCTTATGTAATGTGATGAGCAAGGATGTTAGAATCTTATTGGTGTTGGCAGATATTTTCTTTAAAAAAATCAGAATCAGACAGATGTTTAGATTTGACAGATATTTCGACCTGATATTTGATGATGTGTTCATTGTATTCTGGAGGTTCATTGTATTCTGGAAAGTTTTGGAGCCATTTAACTAATGTGCTAAAATGTCCACATTTTATTAATTTTACTGCATTTTATATTTCACTGTAATGCTAATCAAGGTGGATGTACTCCCAATTCATACATTTCTTAAATGTTTATGTATCAGCGTCGGCAGATATGTACGAGAAAAATATTGGATATTGCCATTGGCCCACAGTTCCTATATCAGTGCATTTCTAATGATGAGGTCTGGATATTACATTTATTAAAACTTAATTTTTGATGCTGTACATCTCTATATTCTATGGCTCCGTGCGTCATTCTGGATGCTTTGTCTGGATGTTTTTATGTACAGCTTCCTATGGTCCTGCTCATTATTTCAAAGTGGTGAGGTTGCACAGGACTAGCATCATTTATATTATCAGAAACATTGATTTTAAATATTTGAACAGCGATTCCAGACTTTTGAATGCTAGTGTATATATGTTCTCTAGTGACATTTGAGCATCTGGTTACATTCTCAATATGTTGATTTCAGCAAATAAATAGAAAATGTGCACTAACATTTGCAGAAAAAAATTCACATTTGAGTGTGTTCTCTGTAGAGGATGTGCTCACTTATTCTGACATTCTCTTGTTCTTTTTTCCGCACAACAAAACTTGTAACACCTGGGGTGTTCAAACTTTTGCATACTACTGTTTATTCCTGTTAGCATTGCTCAAATGCTAAAATTCCAACAAATATTCCATTACCTGCATACTCAGTTACACCTCTGTTGGTGTATTCCTCTTCCTACCTGCAGCGATGGTGTGGTGTGAGCGAGGGATCCAGGTACTCCTCACCACGGTTGGGGCCTTTGCCGCTTTTGCCCTGATGACAGTGGCTATCGGCACAGACTACTGGCTGTACGCACGGGCCTTCATCTGCAACAGCACTGCCAACTCCACTCAGGACGACCCCCACAACAAGGACAAGAAAGACCCCGGAGCCCTCACCCACTCTGGCCTGTGGAGGATCTGCTGCCTGGAAGGTATGTGTGCATTTGTATACGTACGTGAGACTCTGAGCTTTATGCGTGTGTGGGAGGCCAGAGGATATGCGTGCATTCGTGCATATGCCTGCCTGTGGCTGTGTGAGAATACACTGTAGCAAAACGGAGAAGCGTCTGACGTTCCGGTTGCTCTTTTCTACATTTTGTAGATAGCCAAAATATATTTTATTGCGGACGTCGGCTAACACGCAGCTTGCACTTAAACTTATGCAGCTGCATTTATGCAGCCATCGGAGAATGATTGCAAGGTACTGTGTGAAAAAGCACTGATTGCTGTAGATTCGTACAGTGCTCGCTTTTGAAGGGGGGCATGGGGCAAATCATTTTTCAGCATATTCTGAACTGCTGCTGCCTACAGATGCTGACAGGAATTAGCAGAATACTGCCATTTTCATTTGAGGTAGTACCAGAATTCTTTAGAAAGTGATTAAATGCATAAAATCTCAAATATCAATGCAGTGTAATGCAATTCAGTTATTCTGGTGTGATTCAAACTTATTTAAAATAAATACATGGAACTATATACAGTCTTAAATCGATAAATCATAAACCTATCAATAAATATTGATATTTTCATTATTTAAAGCAGCATTATGTAAGATTGTATTGTTAAAACTGACTGAAGTAGCGTTACTGAGATAGGAAGGAAAAAATGCTAATGGTACTATGACTACTACTAATTATAATAATGATTATGATTATTATATCTAATATATCTTTTTTGCATGAGTCTAATGAAAGAGCACATTGGAACAAATGTTTAAGAGCCTTAAAAATCACAGCAGCTTCATCTGTTAAAATGTTTTGACATGAAAACACCTCAAAACATTAAACTAGTATTAAGAATGAAAAAAATACTGCTTCTGATGGCATTTTCTCCATGTAGCAGAACACCAGACAGGACAGCTCACTGCTGTGTGATTGAATTCATAGCTGTTATCCATATCGATAATTATTGATAAGTGCTTCTAGTACCATAATTTGCAGTAAACAAGACAACACAGACAATAAAAAACAGCACATCATGCTTTTTAATATTAGAAAATAGCCAGAAAATTTTATTTTGGCCACAAAAAAGAGTGCAGTCTTACTATTATTTCAATTCTGCCATTTCCACATTCACAGTGATGCATCATACTGCTGTTTTACACCCCTATCATGCACATAAGGACATCTGCATGTTCACCTAACATTTCGAATGTCTGGACACAGAGATGGAGGCGTCAACGAGCTTACAGCGTTTAAACACACCACGGCTTGCACTCTGGTCATGTCTCAAGAGGCAGCTTTCCAGCAAACAGTGTCTCTATTTTTCCCCATTTGCATGAGAAACCAACAGGAGTGGATGTCAATAGCTGTGATTATGCGATGAGTCATCGCAGGTCAAAGGTGTCGTGCGGTGATCTCTCTTTTTTCTGCATAATCAAATGAAATAAAAACAGAGCTGTTCGAGCTGTGGAACACTGCTTGTTCTGCTGCTCTGATCCTCTGCTTATCATGCAGCTGCTCAGTTTTGAAAAAGTGAGACGGCTGAGAATCTGGAATGGCCAATTGTTTTACAAAGAACACTAGTAATTAAGGTTGAACTTCCTTGTTGGGTCATTGATGCAGACGTTATTTGAAGGTATTGATCAGCTTGGCATGTTGTGTGAAACTAGTGCTTCTGAAGCCTCTTATAAATTTGCTAGTCTTGAAGTAGTGAACACTGTGAGCTTTTGAAGGAATGCAGTCTCTCCGTTTCTCTCTCTCAGGGTTAAAGAGAGGGGTGTGCTCCCAGATTAACCATTTCCCTGAAGATGCTGATTATGACCAGGATGCTGCAGAGTACCTCTTACGTGAGTTATGTGTGTGTGTGTGTGTGTGTGTGTGTGTGTGTGTGTGTGCATAAATAAGCTGCTGGTTTGTCTTATAAATTTAGAAGCCTGCAGTAAGAGGACATGAACAAAGCTATCGGTTTTCACTGATCTGTTTCACATTTTGTTCCTCCTTTCCTTTCCTGTCCTCCCCTTTCTCCTCATCTATGCAGGTGTAGTCAGGGCCTCCAGTATATTCCCTATCCTAAGTGCCATTCTCTTGCTGTTGGGTGGGGTGTGTGTGGCCTCTAGCCGCTTCTATAAGAGCAAGAGACACATTATTCTGGGAGCAGGCATTCTGTTTGTGGTGGCAGGTAGGTCGATTGGAATTTATTGATTTATTTGATGTTTATTTAATAGGGACAGGTGCACGAGCTTACAAAATTACAAAGAATTGTCTGATGCTGAATGTAACATTTATAGCGATAAACTAATTTGCAATGTTTGTCCCTAGATGGGCCTTTAATACAACACTGTTACCCCTATGGCTATGAAAAGAAAATTAGAACCATTTTACATTTTAAAGGAAATGTGTATATGATTACTCCCTGCTTGGAATGTGTTTTCTTATATCAAAGTAAATATGAGTAAATATGAACAATTTACAGGAGAAGTCAAAAAAGTTAACTTTTAACGGAAATGAATCGACGAGATTTTATTCCAGATCATTTTGGAGCATTTCATTAGGTCCATTCATCATGAAATGAAGTGATGATATTTAGTAAATATATATAGTAAACAAAGGGCACTTTTAAAAGCATGAATTCATTATTTTATCTCTCAAACTGACACCTTTTCAAAAAGCTCATGTAACAAAAAAAAACTAATTTAACTAGGCTAATTTCATAAAAATATTAGAATTGAAATATATCTAAACTTCTTATGTTAATTGGTTACTAATGCCAAAATAATGTCAACTTTTGTAGCATTTAGCTTGCTTTCAGAAATGTGTAATAAATGTGTCCATTAGCAAGCTAACATATGCTAGCTGAGGTGAAAAAAAATGATAGTGAGATTAGTCAGATAACAAAAAATCAGTTATAATGGATTATCATCCCAAATCAGATACAGCTGATCCGACACTTATTTTTCAGCTGATATCTCACTTTATGTAACTTATCCTGTATTAACTCTGTTATATTTTTTCTTCTCCAGGCCTAAGCAACATCATCGGTGTCATCGTGTACATCTCAGCAGCACTCAGCGACATCTCGCCAAAGAAAGACGAGGACAAGAAGTGGCACTACTCGTACGGCTGGTCCTTCTACTTCGGTGGCCTCTCCTTCATCCTGGCTGAGGTGGTGGGCGTCCTGGCCGTCAACATCTACATTGAGCGCAACAAGGAGCTGCGCTGCCGCTCGCGCACCGACCTGTTCCGCAGCACCACCTCGGCCGTGCTGCGGCTGCCCAGCTACCGCTTCCGCCGTCGCTCATCACGTTCTAGCTCACGCTCAACCGCCGAGCCGCCACGCTCCCGGGACCAGTCGCCCTCCGGCCTTGCTGCCAAAAACTTTGGCCCACCGCTAGCTGCCGGTCCCCCACCCTTCTCCGTGGCCACACTGCCCAACCCACATACACATTCAGGAGGCGGGGGAGGAGGAGGGGGCGTTGGGGACATCTCCATGTACACGCTAGGCAGGGAGGGCAAGCCACCCATGTATGGAACGGTGGACCGTGCCACGCTCTACCAGCTGCACAACTACTTTCCCACCAAGGAGGGAGGAGGAGGGGCACTCATGACGGGCACACTTCCCTCGCTGTCAAAGTCCAACCTGGCAGCATCAGCCAATGCTCCCCTCAACGCCTCGTCTTCCTCCGGCCCCGGGGTCCAAGCACCCACACTGTCAGCCGGCTCCACGGCCACCATGGAGAGGGAGAGAGGGCTGGGGACGCTGGACAGGCTGGGGAAAGGAGATAGCTCCAACACTAACACGCTGAACAGGAGAACAACGCCTGTGTGATGGGTGGTGGTGGTGGGGTGGGAGGGGTCAGAGAAAGAGAGAATGGAAGAGCGAGAGATGAGGATGATCCTAACTGCAAAAGGCAAACAAGAATGGAAAGAGGAAGCATGGGAGGAAGAGAGAAAAGAGAGAGAGAGTCTGGACCCTGCTTCTGCACAGGGTCAAGTTCCTCCCCTAACCTGCTACGCCTGTTCCAGCTAATTAACGCCTCAGTCCTTGATGGGCTGGATCAGGTGCATTTGTGTTAGGTGAGAAGGGGGGCCAGCATGCACGCTCGGGAGGAGGGGGCGTCACGGACATCTCCATTAGGGGTGTAAAAATGCATCTGAAGGTGGCGATTCAACTGCATTGATTTTGAAATGTATGAAAAAATTCTGGAACGTTAGAACGGATAATAATCAATTATAGTAATATTCAGTAAAGTATGCACTCATTTTTGTTGCCAAAATGGCTATTTTCACACATAAACATCCAAAATAAAAAGCTCTGTATATTATTTTTATTGTCTGTAATCCACAGTGTAAATAGTTTCTCCTTTACATTTGTGTACTCGTTTGTATTTTTAAAAATAGTCAAATCAGATGGAACCAGGGTGAAATTTAAGATGATGCCTTGAATCGTTTCCTTAAGAACTGTAATGAAATCGAATCCAGAGACAGATTTACCCCCCTAATCTCTAGTTCCACAATGGGCAAGGACAGAACAGGGGGCTGCGCCACACTTTACCAGCCAGCTGCACAAATACTTTCCAACAAAGGTGAAAAGAGGAGGGGGAGGGGGAGGAGCACACATGATGGGGACGTTGCCCTTCACTGTCCAAGTCCAACCAGGCGGCATCAGCAAATGCTCCTCTCAACGCCTTGTCTTCCTCTGACCCCGGGGTCCAAGCACCCACACTGTCGGCCAGATATCTGAGGAAAGATAGCTCCAACAACAATGCACTGAACAGGACAACCAACACCCATGCGACTGGGGAGGCAGTGTCTGGGGGTCTGAGAGGGAGCGAGTGAGCAAAAGAGAGAAAGAAGGGAGGGGAGATGGGGATGATCCAAACTGCGAATGGCAAACGGATGGAAAGAGGAAGCGTGGGAGGAAGAGAGAAAAGGGAGAGAGAGAGAGCGGGCTGAGAAGCAGAGAAAGGGATGACTCACAGGACAGAGAGAGAGAGAGAAAGAAAGAGAGAGAGAGAAAGAAGCCAATCATCCTCTTTTTTCTCTCCATTTCTGTTTTCGAACATGGTGACTTTAGTCATAAATAGAGTTCCATCCGCACTTTTACTGATTCATGTTGAAATACTTGATGTGTGTGATGGTGGTCTTACTTTGGGTTCTTCAAGCTCTTTTGATTCCAGTGCTTTATCATCAGGTTATGCCTGTTACTTATTTAGCATTCCAATATAAAATGTCATTGTTTTTATTATTGTAGATGTTACTGTTTGGTTTTTCTGAATTATTTTGTTATTAAATTATTTGTTATTTTAATAATTTATTTATCTTATTTCAGTTCCAACTGATGAATTTAAACTGTGATTTTCTCTTGCACATACTGACACTCTATTTTATGATGTCATTTAGTGTCAAGCATGTGCATATTTGTGAGATTGTGTGACATTATTATTATTATTATTATTATTATTATTATTATTATTATTATGTCTCCTGTTTTTTACAAAGATGGATAATATTTAGATCTGTGGAATTTCTTTCATTGTAATTGTAGGTGTACAAGTAGTTAGATTTCATATGAATATATTTGATTATTCAATTAATAACCTTAATATTGTTACAATGAGATGACAACTTTGAAGAACTGTTTTCCAGAAGGCCTGTTTCAGGACAAGGAAGAAATGAAAAGGTAGAATGTGAAAATTTAAGACTTTCATGCCGGGGAGCAATACTTATACCTATAAAACCTCACCAGAAAAGACAAAAAAACTCTATTATAGTATATTATATATATATGAATATATATGTGGAACTTTTTTTGACAAATAAAACAAAATATATTCTATAAATGTACCCAGTTGAGATATGTATGCAGTGTTTTATCTTCCAATGTTAGGAGCTAGCCTGATTGATAGGCTACAGATACCTTTTATTTTTACTAAATAAACTTTCAATTTACATTTTGAACCATTATTAGTAATAGAGAAATATCCCTGTGGAATATTCTAAGAATGCAGACAGAGTGGATAGTGGATAGTAACTAGTCATGCTATAGCGAGACATGTTAGCAGAATTTTTCAAATTACATCTACTTATACTATAATATACTGTTGTTTATTTAATTGCAGATTTAGCCACTAATATCTTTTTCATTCTCTTCTATTGGATCAGCACTGGTCTTATACTGCTTTGCTTTTGACCACACCCCTCACTTTGGAGACCAGAAAGGGAAGAATAGCATCTTTAAACTTATGTCCCTATGCTAGATGCTAGATTTGCTAGAGTTCAAGTGCAGTTCTATAGGGAAATCTATAAGGTACTCAAAAGTTTTTGCACCTAATGCTTTTTCACTCCCACTCAAGCTTTTTTTTTTTTTTTGAGGGTTACTTTTACCTCAGCTATTTTGCTGGAACACTTTTACTCTGGTTTTAGGCTACTTTGCCCATGCCTGAGTGCAGGTAAGATTTGATTTCACAAATATAGTCCAAAATCCTATCTTAGTCAAAGCAAAAATGAAGTTATTTTCTTCTCTTATTTGTCACCATTTATTTGTATGCTGTTGTACACTTGGTCTATATCTAGTGTATGGTTAATTACTCGGGTGATTTGTACCAGTCTACCTTCTGGCGTTTGGGGTTTAGTAGGCATGATCAAAGAAAGTACAAAGAGAATTCTTAATCATGAGGAAGCCAGGTATTAACATAATGCTGTACCTGCCAAATCCACTGAAGAAAGCGGGGTCAGGTCTGCAATGTATTAAGGACATTAATGAATGGATCAGTGTGGAATGGAGTGTTTGAATTGACCTTGAGAGCATGAAGAGTTGGGGGGGGTCAGCACCACACGCACAAACACATGCAGAAAGCCCGAGGGATTTAGGTTACGCCTGTTTAGACAGTCACATTCTCTTCTTCTCTCTCGCTCACACACTGTAATTACTGAGAGAACAATGTAATGCTTGAGCGTAGCTCTGGGGAAGGATATGACCAACTGTGTATCCTCTAGAGCTCCACACTGGCCCTCATCTCCTGCTAAATAATAACAGGGAGAAGCTACAGTGTGCGCCTGGCTGTGTCTTGTCCCATTTCCAAAATGTGTTGTGTGTGCCACTGTGTGACCCCTCACCTTTGCTGCCGTGGGGCTGCTGTTGGCACACGGTAAGTTATGATGTGAGCAAGTGAGCTACTGCATAGCTTCAAGACCGCTGGGGTCCCAGCCACATGCTTTCTCCAATTACCTCTGATCTCTGCTGGCACACCCACACAAACACACGCCTCACCATACCACCGACTCACAGCCCATAATGATATACGACACACTTACTTTACAGATCATGCACTGAAACATGTATGAGTACTTTCTAGATTACATACTTAAATATATATAATATGCAGATATTTGCACACACTGACATAGAAATTAATTACAGATCATGCACTGAAACATAATATGATGTTTACTTTAAAATCACACACTGATACATACAAATATATTTTTAGGTGACACATAAAACAAAGATATTTATGTTTCAGACCACACACTGAAACATAATATAAGGATATTTACTTTTTAGAAGACGCACTGAAACATAATATGAATATATTTACTTTAAAATCACACACTGTGAAATCTAAATATACTTTTAGTTGACACATAAAACAAAGATATTTATCTTTCACATTACACACTGAAACACAAATAATATTAAGATATTTGCTCTTCAGATCACACACTGAAACATACATAACATAAACATAATTGTTTTTTGGATCACACACTAAAACGTATATAACATAAAGATATTTACTTTTCACATCCTGCACTGAAATATATATAATATAAAGAAATTAATTTTCAGATCACACACTGAAATATATATATATATATATATATATATATATATATACATATATACATATATATATATACATATATATATATATAACATAAAGATATTTTCTTTTCAGATCCTGCACTGAAACATCTAATATAAAGATAGTCATGAGCTGAATTCAAAATACTTGAAATTGAAGGTCAAATTACAGTTTCAAAAACATATGTCAAATCACTAATACAATCTGACATAAACCTCAAATAGTTTGTAGCATTTGGCTCAATAATGCACAAAAAACATGTTTTTTCTGCATGATTTTTCTGCTTATCGTCAATGTTCTCTATTAGTGGCATAATCAGCAAGCTGATTGGCTCTTTTTATTGAAGGCAGAAATTTCTCCATAACAGACATGTCGAGTGATACAAGCTTTCCCATTCGTGTTTCAACCAGTGACAGGTCTCTTCCTTTATAACATCTCTGATGCCATTTGCACGTGGACAATATAAGGGATCTCAAACCACGAATTAATTGCGATTAACTGCATAATTTCATGTAGCTATTTGTGATTAATCATATGATGTGTGTCTTATTTGCTTAAATTAGACCCTAAAGAATGTTTTTTTTAAAGCAGGGCATGTTGTTATGCACTAATGCTCAAGAGGTTAGAACTGCTGTTTTCAAAAGTATAAAATGAGTTTGACCTGCATGACAGGTTTTTACTTCACAGGTAATGACTACGACACGAGACAGCTGTAAAAAACAAAAAAAAGAAATAAACATAAAATGTGTTTGAAATGATGAATGGAGCTGTAGATGATTTTAAAGTGAGAAAAAAGCTGTATGACATCAAAAATTTGCTTATCATAAAACCAATATCCAAAATTCATCAGATTTTAGAAGTGGAGATTAACTCTCAAGGTAGATAATTTGACGAAATGAATGTAAATAGACAATTACAGTATATCATTTACATCATGTGAATGCAGAGCTTTTTCAGAATTTCTTAGAATTTGGTCTTTTCCTCATTTGCTTTAATGACTTCAAGCTGGCATGAACTCCTTAAGTTTGTGCAAAAGCCTCTGAGCAGTAGATCAAATCCATCTGAGAGTCGTCTGAACACGAGGTTCAATGGAAGGAATAAGGCAATCTTATAAAAAAAAAATCTATTTTTTTTGTACAAAGGCCTTAATTTGGTCAAAATTGCCTTAAATTTTAACAGTGACCTAGAAATTAAATATTTCCTCTTAATTTTCTTGTCATATTTTTCAAATTTTAAAATAAAGAAGTTTATTCCCAGGTTTAAAAGAACAAAAAAAAGATTTTTTTTTTTTATGTGGTCTCAGACGTGTGTGTGTGTGTGTGTGTGTGTGTGTGTGTGTATACATATATTGCTGTTGTCAGAAGAAAACCTCCTATCTCCAAAATGACAACTTTACAGAAGAAGGGAAAAACCTACTTCACTTTTAACGTAAGCCAATGGAACCAGACATTTTACAAGTAATTTTGGGCTATTTCTTTTAGTCCATTTTTTATGAAAGCTACACACAATGTACAGGGCAAGAGGCATTTTCAAATATGTCAAAAACTGAAAAACAACAAAAATGGAGATACAAGGTTTTCTTCCGACAGCAGCGATATATATACATGCATAATTATTGAATTATTGACAAAACACAAAATTATGAAAGACAAAATTGTGCTGTGATACTGCAAAACAGTATACATGTAGAAATGATGTATTCTTTTTAAATCTAGTTAAACGCATCACTTTTTTTTACTACAAATATAATGCAGTGAAGTATCGTTCTGCTGATGAAGGCATGCATTACATCTCCATGGATACATATAAAGACAAGAAGTCCCAAAAACAAACACAATCCTAAACTCTCAGGCCAACTAGCTGCTATCTTCTTTCCTTACAAACACACACACACACACACTTTAAAACGATTAAACTGCTATATATACAGAGTGCACGGAAGATCAGGTGTCCTACCCTGGCAGTGGGACAGGGATGTGTTTCAAGTGGGTGAGCATGTGTGGCTTTGTGGCTTTGAGGGGTAATGCGAGGGTACAGGTTACAGCACTAGCATGTCTGCAGCTCATCTTAGATGGTTGCTATGGGCATAGAAGAAACACTGGAAACACTTTAAATATAACATACAAGCAGAAAAATAACCCACGTTTAGTTAGTGCCAGTTACGTTCAGGTCAGTATGGATTGAGGTGGAACTTGTTTCGGGTAAAGAAATGGCATAAATGACAGACAAGGTAGTGCTGCTCTTCAGAAACAGCTTGGGTGGTAGAATTGCACTTAAGCCCCAGGTTTGTGTTGCATACATCCACTGGAGCGCAATTGGCCACGCTCTAAATTTAGAGAGGGAGGGAGCAAGGGAGGGGAGGAGATGAGATGAGTGAGAAAGCGCAGAGACAGAAATCTGGAAGCAGGTCAAGACAGAAAATGGCATGTATTTGTGCAATGGTGAAAAAGAAACAAGGAGCTTTTGGAGGGTTTGTCATTGCCTTTTTATCATATGTGGATTTGTGCATGCATACAGAAAAGAAACGGAGAACAGTAACTGTTCTAATCAATTCAGTGAGTTTGTTCCTTCACAAGGCTAAAAATACATGTTGAAGAGGTATAAGAATACATACAAATGATATATATATATACATATTTAAGATACATGTAGGCAGCAAGGTTGTGCAATTACATGAGTCACTAAACAAATATGTATTCTATTGTACAAATAAGCCATCCTTCTTGTGAAGTCACTCAGATTATTAAAAACATGCATTTTATTAAGATGTTTATGTACAATAAGACATTTATGTTTGAGACAAAACTGGTGGAAAAGCATGCTCGACACATTTCAAAATACATTTGAAATACATGAGCAATTACAATATATGGAAAAAAGAGATTTTCCTCCCTAAGATGTTAATTGTGTGAATTTCATGTAAAAATGGATTATATTACAATATGTTATCAACGTATTTGAAAACTGTAATTATGTTCATGAATTATGATTATGTTGCAATGCATTTTTAATATGTTACATTTTTGATGAGCATTGTTTTCTTCTAGAATTTTAGAAATGTAGGATTGTTACTTTGTAGAAGGTAAGGTAGGTAGTTATGAATGAATACATTAGCTTTTAGGTAGATTATATTTATATGATTATTGTAATATTAATACTGAAATTGTAGGTAATACTGCCAATATAAGCAGTATTGAGTAATGTATATAGTACAGTATAGTTAATGCATTTTGCATTAAAAGGGTTGTATATTTTACATTTACAGCTCATTGCATATTAGTGATATGAAAAACATCCCCTGTGGTAGACAGCTTTGGTCTATCCAGATTTATTTTCATTGTTATTTGTTCCTGGTGTTTAATATTTGTTTAGTTAATTCAGCCCCTTCAGTGGTGTCTTCTACTCATCCAACCTCCTATCAGCAAAAAGTGATGATCCAATGACTCAAAAATGTTAGCTTGAGTTAAAAGTGAGGACAGACTACAGATTTTTTTGACCACTCAGCAAAGTACTATACTACATAATATTAAATATGTTCTATTTTTATGTATTTGATTGCAGCTACTAGGACTGGATTTTTGTGCTAGACTATTGCAACAGAGATATAGTCGCACTTAATACTGGCATCATAATCACCTTTTCTACCGAAAATTGAAAACTGGAAATCTTTTCACTGCTAAGATCCAGGGCTAAAATATGGCAACACTGTTGCTTATAATCTGCCACATTATAAAAATCAAGGCCACGTACAGCATATCTCTAAAATGCTAACTGTGTCAGTATTCATTATCAACCAATATGCTCAACAGTGGATTGATCACATTTTCCCTCTACAGTTTTAGCTATGCTATGGGCTTTTGAATATTTTTGAGTATATTTTAAATATTATTGGCATAAATTATGTCTAAAAATCTCATGATACTCTTTCATATTTAGCAGATTACATCTTCTGATAACTCGACGTTACACAAATCTGTTGGGCTGAACTTTTGATGCAGTCTGCTTCTTTTTTGGTCTGCTTCCCTAGCCTGGTACTTGAGAAGTTGTGAGGATATTTTTAACAGCTGATTGGGGATTAGCAAGTCTCTGGTCAAGACACCCTATAAGCACCCTGTTTTTAACTTGTACTGGGTCACACGATAACAGATCTATACCTTAGACTTAGTTTGGAAAGCTTTCTATTGAGGTACTGTGAAATAAGGTAAAGATCAGGGAGCTTTATCTCATATTCTGGGTGGGGGTGCAAGCTAAAAGGAAAGAAGAAATCAAATAAATCCTACACTATCTAATCTTAGCACACTTCATTGGTACACTGCCAGAAGCAACAGTTTGGGATGGAAGACTTATGAAACCAGTATTAATGTAAAATCTGTGGGGTGTAGTTTGCATTTACTGCACTGTTACAACATATTAAATAGAACCCTGACTGTTCAATATGTTGTAGGTGTCCAACACTATTAAAGTATGAACTTCATTTATTATTAAAAATTCATTGCCACTGGACAACATTCATTGCCACTGGAATTGCAGCATCAAATGGTTGCTCTATATCTTGTCCAGTGAGTGAGGAACAGTGAGCTAAATGTCTAATTTCACTAAAATATAGCCTTCATTCTTACCAACTTAAAGCATGACTTTTTCCAAGAGATAACCTTTTTAATGTATTGTCCACAGGACTGAGTCTAATGCAATCACAAGGCATCATTACAGTGCAACAGTGGTGCCCCACTAGTAGGGGGACTTTGCCTACTTGTTTATTTGTTTTTATAATAAACAAACATTTCCATTTGACTTGTACATCCATATTTAAATGGTCACTAGACACTATTTTAAGGCATAAAAGCAGTCAGGGTTCCATTTAAACTGTATTGTATTATTATTTATATTATCAGTTATTAAACACCAATTAAATGCCAAATTTTACTGCACTGAAAGGTGAATGTGTCTATTTAACAGTTACTATGCCATACAAAACAAAGTTTACAAAAGAGATCTTCCTCCATGTCACTAGCTGTCATTGTTCTTGGAAGGCAGACACTTTTCCCAAGGATTGTATGGAAGAGCAAGGAGAAGGAATGAAGCTCCCGCAACTACAAGCATGGCTCCGGCACACCCCACACACGTCACGGACCATGACAGTTCGTAGTGCAAAGGTACGGTGTGGTCGCTTGCCAAAAATGAAAGAACTGACTGGTGGAAAATGATGAGTGACAGGAAGATAAGGACACCTGATTTGAGATGAAATGAAAGAAAAAGAGTCAGTTTTTTGCATCAAGCACTATGTTCACTGGAAAAAAAACATTCATGATATCCCATTTATCATGAAGAAGCTTTAAAAAAAGAGCCTTGTTGTACAAAGAGGTAGCGACAGGAACCAAATATATGAAGAGTTTAATGCGTCTAAAGCTACCTCACAAAAAGCTCTCACATGAAATAGTTACTAATGCTCTGCCTGATGCCTGAGATATGAAATGATGATCAAGATTTTTATGATTTGAGTTATGATATTCTATCTCCATTAAGAAAAAAAAACATATTACATTTAAAAAGAAAACAGCAGCAGGAACATTTATGGCAGAGAGGTACATGCAGGTAATTGCAAGGCTAAATAGTACCCATATTTTTTCAGATTTACCCCAATTTTATCATTCAGAAGTCATATGTAGGTTAAGTGTCAAATAAATTGACAATAAACAGTACTGTAGACATTGTGACTCCTGGTTCCTATCATCACTACGATAAAGACATCTGAGAGGTAAGTTTCTCTACAATTAATCATTTCACATCAAAACACTGTATGTTCAGGATGTGTCTATAGATATTTCATTACACATGTCAGGTAACTGCATCATCAGTAGCTTACAGGTTAAGTCTGGATAACCCAGGTTAAATCAAATATGTAGGTTATTGAATTACTGTACCTGATAATGTAAAACAGACTGAGGCTGGCTTTAGGAAGAACTGCACGCCTTTGCTTATTGCCATGACGATGCAAACAGCTCCCATCAGCATTAGGAAAAGACCAAAGATAGCCAGCATTGCCGACATAACCGTCAAATCTGCACAGAGAGAAAAAAACAGAATGTCAGAATTTGGGTAGGTGAGAAAAATTTATATATATATATATATATATATATATATATATATATATATATATATATATATATATATATCACTGCTGTTGGAAAAAAAACGTGTATCTCCATTTTTGACGTTTTTCAGTTCTTGACATAGTTTGAAAGTACCAAAAGAAATGGCCCAAAATGAGATGGAGATACAAGGTTTTATATATAAACATATATATATATATATATATATATATATATATATATATATATATATATATATATATATATATATAGTTTTTGTAGTCATCCATGATTGACAAATAAAAATAAATAAATCTTGGTTTAGGTGCAAATGAACAGTTATAAAAATGTCCAATCTGGTCTTTTATGGAGACCTAGTGTTCCATTTGAATGGAACTGTACAATGTACATATCGTTGTATCTGTGATTTCTAGGACATATATGATATACATTGCCAGAAAATAATGAGTTGCTCTGTATACATTTTTTTCTCAAACTCTCCCAAAAGAGAGAGTTTGGGATATTTTTATTTCACTTCATTTAATCAGCTTTCAACTTAGCCTATTCAGTCAATGAGTTGAAATCTAACCTATAAGAGAATATGCATTTTCACTGGAAGCAGATGACTGACGGTTTATATTTAAGCAGATAGCTGACAATTACGATTTTAAGCTTCTAAGTTTTTAAAATCCACAGTTTGAATTAACCTACTGAATTATCTCCCAACAGAGAGAGAGAGAGAGAGAGAGATTGTGTTGTAGTAGTGGAAAGCGCACTTACTCTTGGCTGGTGTTTTCTGAAACAGGACTGTGTTCTCTCCAGTGGTGTAGAACTTGAAGTATGTACAGTTTGATTCTAGGATTAACATGTTGCAGTTAATTTTAAGGAAAGAACCATAGTTACATTAATAGATGATCTGTTTGAAAATACATGGACAGTTATATATATTATTAGCAGGTCATGCTAATAATATCTTAAAGTTGACAGAAATCATACTGTTTTTTTCCCCTCCGTATGTATGCATGTCCGATTTAAACACAGTATATAGTCTCTGAGGTAGCTGACAGTTGTCGCTTGATCATATGTGAGGTGGTGGGATGGGGAGGTGAAATACTATTTTTTTCCACCCATTGGTGCACAGCGAATACAGAAGATGATTTCAAGATAAGAAAAAGTCACAGTTTGATAGAAGACTGTGGGGAAAACAAGACTTGTTTCTTTTTCAACATGAACTAACAAAGAAAAAAACACAATTAGGCTTCATGTATCTTCCTATAACATACAGTGAATCCCTAAAATGCAGCCTATACAAAATGATGCAAACTCTCCTGTGTTAATCAATGTAGTCTTTTATACTGGGCACGTGAGGCTTACTTTCACTTGATTAGTGGGACATTGCTTTACTAAATGACCCCCTGAGGCCAGGCCTGCTCAAAGAATCTTTTTTAAGAGTGTAATGGCAGATATGGGTCACTTACAAACTCAAATGTGAACTGCCAAAGCAGAAAGATCGGGTCTGCGCAACAGAATTTAGCTGTAAGACTTGTAAAAGTGAACACTGCCAGAGTGCATCCATGGTTAAGATAAGACCACTTCTTTTAAGCAGCACCACCTTAGGAAGCTCACCTCCAGGTAGATCCAAAGGCCCGCAGCTTTCTCGCTCTGGATCGACATCAGCGACCCAGAGCATCTTGGTACAGCTTTTCCACAGGCCATAGTGCGCTGCCAGACACGTCTGATTGTTGTGAAAGCCCTTGGACGGTGCAAGCTCCACCCAGAATTCGGTGCCCACCCCTAGCACAGTCAGTGTGATGCCCACTGTGGCTACAAAGAAGGCAAGCTTGATCTTCCCCTCCTGACTCTCACTTAGGGCCTTCCCTGAAGGGGAGGACGCTCTAGTCCGCCGCTTGCCACCTCCAGTACGCACACCCATCATTCCTGCCAGCGCTCCGGCACCTCCGCCAGATGCAGCCGATGGCCTGCTCTCCTCATCCTGCACGATGAAGGTGGACCACATGGCGGAGGGAGGGGTGTGAAGAGAAAGGCAATTTGAAAACGGCTGACTTCTTGATGGGGCAGTTGTGAATTGATGTTAACGTGGGTGGAAATAATATGGTGATCTAGCCAAATGCATAAAGAAGCTAAAGAGTGGATGTAAAGTACAGGGCCAATATCCTGAAGGCTTAGCTACTGGTGGAATGATGTAGCATTAGAATAGGACTTGGCAGAATGCATTAATGATAGCCATGTAAAGACCAGCATTGAATGACAACGCGTGATATAAGCGAAGGTGTGAACTCTGCACAACAAAATGAGGGCATTTTCACAAGGAAATTTGAAGGAACCAACGGAAAGTGATGAAGGAGATTCATAGAGTCGACATGGAGAACATATGAGGGAAGGATGAGGCCGGGAGGTTAACAAGCGTTGTATATCTGGAGTTTAAACAAAAGGAAAATTAGAAAACATTAGAACAACAAAATTTGGCAAATTAGAAGAAAATTGAACAAATATTAAGCAATCATGCTTTGCCCACATGAGCAAAAATGCCCATTGCAGCAATGCAGCATGCCATTTTTTAAGTAAAGTATTTTTTTCAAATACTGCACACTGAACATGCACTACACTAATACTCCATTTCTTGTTTATATGTCGCAAATGAGAGAACTGAACACAGAACAGAAACATGCCATGCATTCTTGAATAACAAATTTAAACCTATACTGTAGAATTATGTTAAACTAGCCCTCAGTGGATGATGGGGTCAATTCCTTTTAAACAAAGATCATAGTGTTTATGCATATTCTGCAACTGCCAGAGACAAACCAAACTTTTTTTGTCATTTAGTGGTGATTGACAAGCGCTGATCAAGCAAGGGCTTCAATAACGAACCGTAACAATGGTACAAACAAGCTGCTAACCTGTTGGGCGTGAGAGGCTCAGTCGGAGTGAGGGAGGAAATCTTTTCTCTGTGCCTGGGAGAAACAAGACAGAGAGACAGAAAGGGAAAAAGGGAGGGTAATAGAGGGAGGAGGCCAAACTGGCACGCTGGTGCCGTATGTGTGAAGAGGGGGGGTTGTGTGTGACTACACGTCCAGCCCCTTACATGCACAACCAAGGCAAGGGTACTGGTGTTTTTTTAAGCTTGCCTGCATTGGGTTGCAGCCTCTGTCACTCAGTCATTACCTCACGCTTGCTTGAATGTGTTTGTGCATTTTTGCACACGCTGTCTCCGCGTTGGCTCAGCGTTTGTGTGTGTGTGTGTGGGTCGGAGTGTGTGTTTCTCATTTCTATTTTCGACAGCCACCTGTTAATGACATTAAAAAGAGAGCAGCGGACGAGAGACCACTCGAGTTAGGGTCAGCAGACGTGCGTGTTCCTCTTTGGGGAAAGTGGGAAATGGATTCCTGGGAAGTTTATCATTTAAGCCGTCAGATTTCACTTTAGTAATTGGTAAACATTCTAACACATCAACAAAGCAAAATTAGGATACCCAATTATACAGTTCACATAAGAGTGTCTGAATGAGTGCTACTGTAATTAACTCAAAGTAGAGTGTATGAAATTGCCAACTGGGCAGTCAACACTCCTTTAACTAGGTATAAATTAAATAAAAACAGCCACCATGATTTTGACTTAAATGCCGAAATGCCCTTGAGACCATGATCCAAGGTCATAAAGACAACTCAGAGTAAATGGCCATCTATTTAAAGGCGCTATATAAAGACGCTACGCAAAATGCAAGTAATGTACATTCACAAGATGTGTCGGCCTCTCTTCATGTTAAGAGCATAAAACATTGTGACAATTCAAAGCATGTCTTCTCCAGTAAAACCAAGAGGAATTATCAACAAAGTCATTTTGAGTGGTCTGATGGGAAAAGCTCCATTCTAGGGAAACTTGAATTGTTCACAGTGGTGGTGATAGGAACCAGACATCTGTAGTGTTTAATGCCTCTAAAAGGAAATTCACAGAAAGCTGTTACATTTAATGGTTATATTTACGCTACTTGATGCCCGAGATTTTATTTAATGATCATTTAGAATTAATTAGCCAAAACAGTCCATAAAGAAGACATATTTTACTATTATAATCTTTACATATCTTCAGAAGACACATGTAGGTTCACTTGTCATTTTGGATAGTAAATAAAATGGCTATATTTGCAGTGTATACATCACGACCCCTGGTTTCTACCACTACCACTTTAAAAAAATTTAAGTCAGTAAAATTGTCTACGATGTGACATGTTATATTAAACCACTCTGAATGACTTTGTTTATCTCAAAACAACTGAATTATGCAGAAATCTTTAAAGGGAGGACACCAATGTTACGATGCTATGAATGAATTCAGGAAAAAATGCTATAAAACAATAATAAACACACTTAAACAATAATAAACTATATACAGCGGAAAAAGGATATTTGATCAACAAGGTTTTAGATAAATGTAAGAAAAAAGTCATGAGTAAAACAAACAAATGTAAATAAACGTCATCAGTGATTTTATATATATGTATATATATATATATATATGTGTGTGTGTGTGTGTGTGTTTTCTTTGTTTTTCTTTTGTTTTCTGTCTCTCCTTTTCTCTCTTCTGTATTTCTTTATCATTCTTTGTTATTTCTTTTGCTCTGTTACATTGTATCATTGCCATGATACCATACTGTTCACATTTTGAGAACATGTACTGTACCTTAAAATGTCTATAAATAAATGTATCTTAAAAAAAAAAGAAAGAAAATGACTGGTCCCTTTGTAGCTCGGTGGCCCTATCACTTTTCCCCCTTATAGCAAAAACCATCTCACCCTCATGAAGAACTGCCTCTAATTCAAATACTGTAAAGTGCACTTAATCATGTTGTAACTTTATTCTAATAATGTGTCAATCTGTCAACACGGGCCCATTTTGTGGCTCAAGAGTCTTAATTCTGGTGCAAAAAATCTGATATAATCAGTTTAAACAGATCATAGAAAATTCTGCTTGACATTTCTATTGTCTGATGACATGCCCTTATGGGTGCATTCAGAATGATCTGACTTCTAGCTGAATGCAGAAGAATTTGCATTCAATCCATTATTATGGCACTGGCACTGTGCTTTTGTATTACGTGGGCTTATATGAGCGAGAGAGAGAGAGTGCTGCAGTCTTATGTGCTCAGCATGGCGATAGCTGCGTGCACTCACTCCCCTCTACACACATCCTGCTCTAACGCTAGCCATTAGGTGGCGCCACTGGGCAGTGGCCGTCCACATAGTTCCTATCAAACACATCATTACCCAATCTTCTGCACTGGGACCAGCAGGCCTTAACTTAATCCTGGCCTTCACTACCAGGGAATCCATAACAAACATTAGCCCTGGATCATAAAAAGAAAAAGACATGCTGAACTGCTAAAACATTCTGGATGTCATACCAGAAATATGATGATACATATTATTATGATTATTATTATGAAAAAGTGTAATTGCTTTAATTAAGTTCATGCATCATCCACTTTTAAATGTATGTACAGTACTGTTCAAAAGACCTAAGGGAGAGTAAGTAATTCAATTTACCTGTTCAGTAATCATTATAAGGCTGCAAGAAATATTTAATAAAATCAGATAAATTCAATAATTAAAATATTCAGAAATGAAAAAGCCATTTTAATAACCGATACTTTTATCTGTTGATAGAAATATGAGCTTTTTGTTTACCAGTAGTGCGCAGCAGTAGCGCATCTAAAGAGAGCCTGAACATCACACAAAAACAGCACTTTATAGCTGTTAGCCTTTTTTCGTGTCCTTCAAATATTCCATTCCTGTCAATGCCACAATGATAACCATTCTTAACTGTCAGAATCAGAGCTCTTAGATGAGGTAATAATGTTGGTTTTAATTGCCCTGTGCAGTTCAAATGCTTTTCCTACCGCTCTGGATTGCTAGCTAGCATGCTTTTCACTTTTTTCCACATTTTTTTCTTACAATAAATGACAGCGTACTGGTGAGCGGGAACTTTTTTAAACTGAACAGGGCAATGAGTCAGACACAGAAGAGTTAACCATATATATTATATTTGAATCAATATGATCTTTGCTTTAGCACTCAGGTATAAAACTGTTTTTGAGTGGCTTAAAAAGTTGAAGAATCCGTACAGAATTTAAACCATGGTCACCTCCACCATCACTTGCAAGAAGCAACCAAAAAGCTGTTTTCAGTTTTTTAAGACAATGTGGTTTAAAGGTGATGATTCCTCTGCTCTCCTGCACTGCTCATCGCTGACACATTGAGAGAAGCTCAGCAGCCTGGTCAGAACTGCCAGCCCCCCCTGGATTAGCATTTTGTGCTACTTGCTATGACAATAATTGTTTATTAGGGATCCATTGCCTTTTAAATTTCATTAAAAAGCCTAAATAAGAACAATAAATAAATTAATAGATACAATTTCTAAAAATGAATAGATTCCAGGAATCACACAAAAACTAACAAAAAAATTAACAAAAATGAGTCATATTTTACTGCATTTACATTTAGTTTGTATATATGCTGTTTTACTGGCAAAAACACACTTTCTGTCAAGATAAATAGTTTTAACTAATTTTCTTGGGTGCGTGAGACTTTTGCATCGTTCTGTATTCTATGTTTACTACAATAAAGAACCAGTATTCTTGGTGTAATTTGTAATCTGTCAGTGGTTAATCTCTTCAGAACCTTTTCAATGTAATGTGCTGCCTTCTGTCGAATGCTACAGCATCTGTTATAGTATTTTATCTGTGGCAAAAATTGGACAGTAGGAGTGAATCTATCAATAGCAACTGCTTCGAGTAGCTCCAGAGAGAAAGAGAGAGAGAGAGAGAGAGAGAGAAAAAAGAGAGAGAGGGAGAGAGAGTATATTAAACTCTCTCCTGACGCATGGAGGGGTGAGAGATAAAGAGATTACTGTCAACGGTGTGAGGCCTTCAGTTTACACTCAGTGAAGAAGGAAAAAAAAAAAACAGATTAGTCACCAGCCTTCTTTTTTACTTCCTCCCAAGCTCTTTCATACCAGGCTCTCTCTCTCTCTCTTTCTCTCTCACTATTTCTTATTCTCACATAATCCAACCCTTTGCTTATCTCCTCACCATACAATTCTGCGTCTCTCTTTTTCACACGCTCAAGCTTTCATTCACACAAAGAGGAGACGCTTGAAGTAGCTGATGTATTTCACTCTCCAGGGTGACCCTAACAGAAAGTTGCACATCTAGCATCCTTTCCTAAAAGATATTTCAGTTATTGGCACGCGAAACACTGTCCATGCAGCAGAGATGTGTCTGATCCCCGGGAGAATGGCTTTACGGTGAATCAAGATGCCTCTGGGCATGAGGGTGGTGATTAAGGATCAATTACACCTGTAAGTGGATGATTACGTAACCCCAGCAGCGGTCGACTTTCAGCCTCTAAAACACGACAGAAAAAAGGGTAGAAGCCTGTTAGTCCATGATCAGTCTTAGGTATAAGTGGATATGAGCCAGGTGAAAGTTGCAAAACAAATTTTTAAGGAATTAATAAGGTGATTCTGAGATACAAACGTCACATGCATTGGCAGGAGAATCATTCCATGTCAGTTCAGAATAGGGTTGTTGCTGTGTCTCTCAGGTTTTATTCTTTTTTTGTTGCTTGTGACCTAAAGCCAAAGTCTATAAAGTATTTAATCTGAATTTTAACATTATCACATTTTTCTACTCTCCTGAAAACTTTAATATTTACTAATTAAAAATGTTTTATCTGGGAAGACATGTTTGCGGTTTAATACCTCCAGAAATATGAGTCCCATCCACATTACATTTGGTGGAGATAAAGACAAACACCTTTTGTCATCCCTGTCTAAATTCCCTGCCATCCCACAGAAGATTAATTTTGTTCTTATGGGGTCCTCAACTTGGAAAAAATGTAAATTTCAGCACAAAAACTTGAGTGATATTAAGTATTATGGACACCATTTTAATAGAGTGTGTCTAATACCACAGTTTGTGCTTAAACTATAATATCTCGTCGATGTTGCTTCAACAAAACACAAAACATCTGAGACATACAGCAACAC